ATCTGCCTTTGGCTCAGATCATGATCCCAGAGTCCCAGGATCGAGCCCCACACTGGGCTCCCTGCTCAGTGGGAAGCCTGCTTCTCCCTCTCGTGCTCCCCCTGCTTGTGCTCTCTGTCAAATAAAAATCTTAAAAAAAAAAAAAAACTTAAATCATCACAGCAGCATTATTTACAATGGCCAAGACATGGAAACAACCTAAATGTCCAAGAGATAAACAAATTGTGTGTATATATGTATATATGTACACACATACAATAGAATATATTATTCAGCCAGAAAAAAATGAGGAAATCCTACACTTGCAACAACATGGATGAACCCTGAAGTCATTATGCTAAGTGAATTAAGTCAGACAAAGACAAATACTGCATGATTTCATTTATATGCGGAATCTAAAAAAACAAAAGGTAAAAAAAAAAGAAAAAGAAAAAACAAAACTCGGAGGAAAAGATCAGATTTGAGGGAGTGGGGGGGAGACAGGGAATTAGAAGGTCAAAAAGTACAAACTTGCAGTTACAAGAGAAATAAATACTAGGGATGGAATGTACAACATGACACCTGTAGCTATCATGGCTGTCTATCACACAAGAAAATAAAGCGAGGTAATCCTAAGAGTTCTCACATAGGAGAAAATATTTTTCTTTGTTCCTTTCTTCTTTTTTTAAAATTATATCTACAGAGATGATGGATGTTAGCTGAATCTATTCTGGCAATCATTTCACAATATATGTAAATCAAACCATCATGCTTGATACCTTAAACTTACATAGCGATGTATGTCAATTATTTCTCAATAAAACTGAAAAAAATTAAATCACCTTTGAATAGCCAAAAAATATGTAAGTAAAGACATTCTGGAAAGATACACTAATGTTAAAAATGCTTGTCTGAAGGGCGCCTGGGTGGCTCAGTTGTTAAGCGCCTGCCTTCGGCTCAGGTCATTATCCCAGGGTCCTGGCATCGAACCCCGCATCGGGCTCCCTGCTCCGCGGGAAGCCTGCTTCTCCCTCTCCCACTCCCCCCTGCTTGTGTTCCCTCTCTCCCTGTGTCTCTCTCTGTCAAATAAATAAATAAATTTTTAAAAATAAATAAATAAATAAAAATGCTTGTCTGCTTCTGGAGAGTGGAAATGGGATTAGTAGAAGGGGCAGAGAGTGGAAGACCTCTTTATATGTAAAACCCTTTGTTAGTATTTGAATTTGTACATGATTGTGTTTTATTTAAAAATTTTAAAACTATCTCATTTAAAATAAAAATTAACAATACTTATTCCTAAATACCCAAAAGCCTGGAAGGGTCAAGTTCCCCAAAATGTGAACTGGGGTTTCCTGTGCGTCGTAGGACCCTGGGTCACCACTGTTTCGTTGTCATATTTTGTAACACTTTCTAATTTTTAAAAAATGAACATTTAATCTTTATAAGTAGATAAATGACAAAGCTATTTCCCCATTGGGGAAAGTGATGCCATATATACATAAAGAGAGACAGAGCAGAGCTGCTGGAACCTGGATGCTTCTGAACACTCTCAACTGGCTACTAACTTTGCTGCTAGTTACAGAATTCCCTTCATCCCATCAAGCAAACACCTAAGTTTCATTTCTACTCAGTCAACTGCCTGAGCTTTTTTCCCTACCATGAAAAGAACATGACTCTTAGAGCAGGCAAAGATCTTAGAAACATTTTCTTAAATGTATAAAAACAGAACCCAGTGTGTGCCTGGGTGGCTCAGTCAATTAAGCATCTGCCTTCGGCTCAGGTCATGATCTTGGGGTCCTGGAATCGAATCCCACATCAGGCTCCCTATTCCCTGCTACTCATGATCTCTCTCTCACTCTCAAATAAATAAAATCTTTTAAAAAAGAAAAAAAGAACGAACCCAGGAAGATGAAACAACTTGCCCAGGTGCTGCAGCTGAGCTCAAGCCTTACACCATGTCCGACACCCACCTCCCCGGTGCCCCTCTGCGAGAGCTGTGCCCTCTCCCCACATCCCCGAGTGGAACTTGCAGTGAGTGAGGTGGAACACATTTTGGAGATTATGAAGTTCTTCTATACTGTTGGGAAGGGAAGTGAAGGGGGAAGGGAAGAGGGAAGGGAAGGGGGAGGGGAGGGAAAGCAAGGAAGGGAGGAGGGAGGGTTCAGGAAGGAAGGGAGGGAGAAAAGGAGGGAAGGAGGAAGGAAGGAGAGGAAGGAAGGAAGGACTTAAATTGAAATAAAGAAAAGAATATGGGTATAACTTCTTAAAGAGCCCCAGGGCCTCATCTTGGCATAAGTACCAGCCTGTCCTCTTTCAACTCTAGAGATGCCAGACTTGACCCAGGGATATGAAGAGATTATATTCCAGCAAAATTACCAGCAGAAGTTTTCATTTGCCACTTAAAAACAGAGCCCTGAAGGGAACCTTACAGTCATCTGCCCATGGTTCCTAAATCTGGCTTATCATCAGAATCACTGAAGGGACTTTTTAAAAACAAAGATCTTGAGCCTTGCCCAAACTTTCTAAATCTCCAGGGGTGAGATCAAAGAATCCATAGTTTTTTTGTTTTTTTTAAAGAGATTTTGTTTATCTATTTGACAGAGAGAGACACAGCGAGAGAGGGAACACAAGCAGGGGGAGTGGGAGAGGGAGAAGCAGGCTTCCCGCGAAGCAGGGAGCCCGATGCCCGATGCAGGGCTCAATCCCAGGACCCCGGGATCATGACCTGAGCCGAAGGCAGACGCTTAACGACTGAGCCACCCAGGCGTCCCAGAATCCATGGTTTTTAAAGCTCCCCAACAATTCTGATGAGCGACCAGATGATTTCTCATGAGATGACAGTGATTAGGTGGGGCAGGGGCGGGACTAGGATCCAATCTGTGACTGCCAGTCAGCAGTCTCCCTTCTCATGACCTGTTACCTCTGAAATCCTACAATGTCTACTTGGAGCCCAGACCGTTTCCCCTTCATAAAGTGAAATACTGGCATCCTGCCTGGAAATCCAGCAGTCCTGTGGCCATTTTACTCAACCAAAAGAACAGTATCTAACTGAAACCCAGCTCTTAACCAACAAGGGCTTCAGATTTCACGCTGCGCTGGGCCACTCGGATCCAGTGTTCTGTCACTGTCCAGGCCCTAGAATTTATAAGCCAATCAACCCTGTCCTCTTTACAAATGGTCATCTTTCAGGTATTGACTCCTACATGGCAGTAATCCTAATTATAGAAATGGTGAATGCTAAAAAAAATACTACTGACATTGGTCTTTTATGATTTTGGAAGTCACAGATTTCTTCCAAATGTAGGTTCTATTGGAAGACCTTTGAAATGGGTGGGAATTTGCTGAAAGCATGTGAGCTTGTCACGGGGTGACTCAGCATGCAAATGTGTGGGGTCAGAGAGAAGCCACCTTGGGTCTAACACCTGAGTGGGGCCATATGATCACAGTCTAACAAGTACTTTATTAGCCTAAAGGAAAAGGCATATTTACAGAGGAAACCACCAATGTCATGGGAAATAGAGTACAGCAAATTTTAAAAAGTGTGACTCACATACTACACAATTATCCTTCACCAAAAGGATTTTGTCATATACTACCAGAAAACAAAAAGCCTTTTTTCTTTCTTGGTCTGAGGTTACTATAAAGTCCAAGATGTATGAACAGGCCAAAAAAAAGGGTAGATATGCATAGGCAAGCAAAAAGGTATCTGGGGGCGGCTGGGTGGCTCAGTTAAGCGGCTGCCTTCGGCTCAGGTGGAATCGAGCATCGAGCCCAGCGTCAGGCTCCCTGCTCAGGGGTTAGCCGGCTTCTCCCTCCCCCTCTGCCTGCCTCTCTGCCTACTTGTGCTCTCTATCTCTCTGTCAAATAAATAAATAAAATCTTTAAAAAAGTATCTCTTAGGGTAATAGCCACATCTGGATCTGTATGGCCAGCTGACTAAGTCAGTTTTATAGGACTGCTGGAAATCAGATGAAATCTTTACACTGGATTCTACTGGAGGAAGAGGGTCAAAACCAAAATTCAAAACAGGATTTTGGGAGGAAGCCTATAATGTAGCATGTAATGCCAATGCCAACAAATATTCCTAGATCAACTATGCTAGAGCTAGAAGGAATCTCAGAGGGGTTCCAATCCAACCTGCCTTATAGTTGTTTATACTATTTATAGCACAGTCACACAGAGGACCAGACAGCAAGTGACATGTTCAAGTTCACACAGCTATTGAGGGACATGGTTGGGACTCGCCTTCAGGACCGACATGCCCTGGCCACAGGATTCAGCTGAGCTGGATTACTGATAAGGAGAGGTTCGTGAAGAAACCCAAACACATCATTCCAAATTCCAGAAAGTCTCTTTCACCTCCCCCCTCCTTTTGCCCAGGCTATGAGATCTACTGATATTTCAGATTCTTCATTTGTTACACTATGGCTGAAAAGAAGGCATTTTTTAAATTTATACCTTAATATTCAATTTCAACATTTACTGAATGTCTACTCTGAGTTGGGTATCATCCTGGGCCACTGGAGCACAACTGAGTAAGACAGTTCATTGTACGTCACACATGGTTCAGTAACATTCAAGCCTGCCCCTACTGTGTGGCCCTGTTGTGGGGGAAGCATTTTGAGCAATAACAACAAAGCAATTTGATTATTTCAGTCTGGTTCCTGGTAAGAACTTATCCATATCACAAAAGTCCAACCGTTTCAGCTTATCCTCAGTCAGAGCAGGGCATGAAATGACGAGGATGCCAGCCCCAACACGAGGCATGAACTCTGAGGATTTCAACAGCAGGTAATTGCTTGTCAGAGCCCTTGGGGAGACCAGGGGTAGGTCTGGACACAGAAAGGAAGCCCAGCATGACACCAAAGGCATAACGTCTGTCTGGCCAAAAACCCACTGGAGACAGGAGCTCCAAAAAAGCACATTTCATTTTTTCAAACATTTCAACTTTGGGGCAATTTAAAAAAGTGACAGACAGTTGTGCTAAATGAGAACTCAAGGGGGTTCCACCTTTGTCCTACCTCCCAGTGACCAGCAAGTTTGGGTGGGATCTCCAACCCCAGCTTCTCCAGCTCTCGCTCCCTGTACTTCTCATACTGCCGGTAACCCGCATACCCGCCACCTGTCACCAACAGAACGGGCAGGGGACGCAGCAGAGACAAGGTTCGAGCAGGGGCAGTGTGGACTCTTCTGGCATCTGTAACAAAAAACAGAAAAATTCTGAGATTAGGAGAAGGGACAGGGATGAGTCATGCAAACAGCACTAAAATGAGGTCTAGGAAACATCAGTGCATCTTTGATAGGCAGGTGCAACCTTAAGTCACTATTAAGACCCTTCTGTCTCCAAATTCTCTCAATAAGTAAGGGACATTTTTTAAAAATTTTTTTTTAGATTTTATTTATTTGACAGGGGGAGAGAGAGAGAGAACAAGCAGGGGAAGCAGTAGAGGGAGAGGGAGAAGCAGACTCTCCATGGAGCAGGGAGCCTGATGCGGGGCTCAATCCCAGGACCCCGGGATCCTGACCTGAGCAAAAGGCAGATGCTTAACGACTGAGCCACCCAGGCACCCAAGGGACAAGCATCTTTCCTATGAAACTACAATGCACCTCAACTGCCACCACAGCCAGAAAATTTAAGACAAAAACACTGACTGAATCACAAAGAGGTCAAGAAACTGATCAAGGGTGCCAGGCTGGCTACCACCAGGTCCAGGACTGGGAATCAGGCACCATTTCTCACCCAGGACTCTCTGACCTTACTTTTACAATCCAGACCCAATTCTGACTAGACACGAGTATACTCAAATGCAAACTCCCATAAGCTCTTACAATTCAATAATAAAAAAGACAACCCATTTTTTTTAAAGATTTTATTTATTTGAGAGAGAGCACAAGTTGGGGATAAGGACACAGAGACTCCCCGCTGAGCAGGGAGCCCAACATAGGGCTCAATCCCTGGGACTCCAGGATCATGACCTGAGCCAAAGGCAGTCGCTTAACCAACTGAGCCACCCAGGCACCCCAACCCATTTTTAAAAATATACACAGGACCTGAATAGACATTTCTCCGAAGAGGATATACAAATGGCCAGTAAGCACATGAAAAGATGCTCAACATCTATTATGGGTTGAACTGTGTCCCCCCAGAATTCACATGCTGAGTCCTAGCTCTCAGTACCCAGAATGTGACCTTACTTGGATATAGGGTCTCTAGAGAAGTAAACAAGATAGGGGTGCCTGGATAGCTCAGTTGTTAAGTGTCTGCCTTCAGCTCAGGTCCCTGGGATCAAGTCCCACATCAGGCTCCCTGCTCAGCGGGAAGCCTGCTTCTCCCTCTCCCACTCCCCCTGCTTGTGTTCCTGCTCTTACTATCTCTCTCTGTCAAATAAATAAAGTCTTTTTTTTTTTTTTAAGATTTTATTTATTCATTTGTGAGAGAGACAGAGAGAGAACAAGCAGAGGGAGAGGCAGAGGGAGAGAGAGAAGCAGACTCCCCGCTGAGCAAGGAGCCCGATGTGGGACTTGATCCCAGGACCCTGGGATCATGACCTGAGCCGAAGGCAGACGCTTAACCGTCTGAGCCACCCAGGTGCCCCAAATAAATAAAGTCTTAAAAAAAAAAGGTAAACAAGATAAAATATGGTCATCATGGTGGGCCCTAATCCGATATGACTGCTGTCCTTTTGAAAAGAGAAAATTTGGAGACAGACATGCTTATGAAGAGAATGCCATGTGAAGATGAAGGCAGAGATCAGAATGATGCTTCTATGAGCCAAAGACTGCCGGCAAATCATTAGGAGCTAGACCAGAGGCATGGAACAGATTCTCCCTCCCAACCCTCAAAAGGAAGCAGCCCTGTGACACCTTGATCTCAGGCCTCTAGTCTCCAACCTAAGTACGTTTCTACTATTTAAGCCACTCAGTCTGTGGTACTTTGTTAGAGCAGCCACAGCAAACCAATACAACATCATTAGTAATCAGGGAAATGCAAATCAAAACCACAGTGAGGGACCACTTCATACCCACTAGGATGGTTATGATCAAAAAGACAAGTGTTGGGGCGCCTGGGTGGCTCAGTTGGTTAAGCGACTGTCTTCAGCTCAGGTCATGATCCTGGAGTCCCAGGATCGAGTCCCACATCAGGCTCCCTGCTCAGCAGGGAGTCTGCTTCTCTCTCTGACCCTCTTCCCTCTCATGCTATCTCTCATTCTCTCTCTCTCAAATAAATAAATAAATAAAATCTTTAAAAAAAAAAAAAAAGACAAGTGTTGGCAAGGACGTAGAGAAAGTAGAACACTCATACACTGCTGGTGGGATTGCAAAATGGGCCAGCCACTTTGTAAAACAGTTTGTCAGTTCCTCAAAATGTTATACATAAAATTACAATTATGACCCAGCAATTCTGCTACTAGGGATATTTCTGAGAGAAATGAAACCTACACCGACACAAAAACTTGTACAAGAATGTTCAATAGCAGCCAAAAAGTAGAAACAACCCAAATGTCCATCAACTGGGGAATGGATAAATAAAATGTGGTGTGTCCATACAATGGAATATTATTTGATGACACAAAGGAATGAAGTACTGACGCATGATACAACATGAACCTTGAAAACATGATGTGAAAGAAGCCAGCCACAAAAGGCTGCGTATTGTAGGATTTCATTCACATGAAGTGTACAGTACAGGAAACATACTATAGAGACATAAAGTAGATTAGTGGTTGCCAGGGGATGGGGGGAGGGAGAAATGGGGAGTGATAGTTTAATGAGTCAAGTGTTGTTACTAGCTTGGGGAGTGGGGGGAGGAATGAAAATGTTCTAAAACTAAATAGTGGTGATGGTTGCACAATTCTGAATATACTAAAAAGCACTGAATTGCACTTTAAAAAGATGAATTTTATGGTATGTGGATTATATCTCAATAATGCTGTTATCAAAACAAAACCTCAAGAGCTAAATCCCCAGGAGCCTATACAAAACCAGGGCATACCCTTCTTACTGCCTCTGACTTCCAATGGGAGTGGAAACCCCCTGCTCCCAAAATCACCAGCCCCCCACCACGTTCTGGGTGTTGCTATTTCTTCTATTAATGACCAAGTGTGGATGTCATTAATCTCTTTCATCTTCTAATTATTCCTAATGAACCATTACTACTTCACAACTAAATATTCTACCTCTGACCAAGTAAGACTGACCATAAAGCAACCTTTTTTTTCCTCTTTCTGAAGTATCTGGTGACAAGAGATCTGTTGTACCCTCCTCATTGCAGTGAGCCACCATCCTAGACTGACTAGTCACGCTCTATTGAACGCTGCTGGCCACACTAGCCCTTTCTTCGATGACATGTCTCGCCTTCTCAAAGGCCTACTTTGCCTCTCCAAAAAGAAGCAGTAAGTAGAGACAGCCCTCCACTACTGACCGCCTCCCTGCTGGGCCTGTCACTTTATAAAAGCACAGCTTCTCTGCAGATCCAAGATTATGTCTCAATTTCTAAGGCTCCCCTTCTTTCCTTCATGTGATTCCCACGTGTTCCAGCTCGCAAGTCCTTAAGTAGAGCCCAGATGTGCTGCTATTAACTACCAGAGTAAACGTTTCGTTCTCGCTCTCATTAACCAATCTGTTTTATTCCCAAGGTACTCTCGCTGGACAGTTCAAAATGGCTTCTGGTATGATCGAATAAAAAGGATATCTAGATAATAAAGACAAGACATTTTCATACAGGTTCAAATGGCTGCTTACAAAATCAAAAAAGTTCATAATCTACCCGTTTTGGTGAGGGTGTGGGGAACTGATGTACTCATGAGCACCTCCTGCTCATATGCACGTAATCTGGAACAATCCTCTTTGAAGAACAATCTGGCCTAAATACCAACTTGTAAAATACATAAATCTTTTGATCCAGCAATTCTAGCTCTACAAATTTATCCTGAAGCTGCACTAAGATGTGTCACCACAGAAACGTCTATAGTAGAAAAAGCCTAGAAACAACTTACATGTCCGACACCAAATGGTAGTCATTCAACAGAATACTAGGCAGCCAGTAAAAACGATGTGCTCCAGGGATAACTACATGCCAGACATTCTAAGCACCCCACAGATATAAGGTCATTTAATTCTACTAACAACCCTATGAAATAGGAGCTGTTTATCCCAGTGTACTGATAAGCAAACTGAAGCACAGAGAGGCCAGCGTCACTTCTAATTGCTACTTACTTGTGTAGAAGCCTCTGACAGACAGCTTCCTTAAGGACTGTAGGAAGTGGCTCACGGCAGTGTTCTCAGAGTGAAGGAGGCTATAATCAAGCAAAAATGAACTGTTAAACATTTATTTAAAAAAAATTTTTTTTAAGTAGACTCCACACCCAGCGTAGAATCCAACGTGGGGCTTGAACTCACAACCCTGAGGATCAAGACCTAAGCTGAGATCAAGAGTCAGCTGCTTGGGTGCCTGGGTGGCTCAGTTGGTTAGGCGACTGCCTTCGGCTCAGGTCATGATCCCAGAGTCCTGGGATCGAGTCCCACATCGGGCTCCCGGCTCAGCGGGGAGCCTGCTTCTCCCTCTGACCCTCTCCCCTCTCATGCTGTTCTCTCTCTCTCTCTCTCGTAAATAAATAAATAAAATCTTTAAAAAAAAAAAAAAGAGTCAGCTGCTTAACTGACTGAGCTACCCAGGTGCCCCATCTTAAAATTATTTTTAAGATTTTATTTATTTGAGAGAGGGCACACAAGGTGGGGGAGGGGTTCCTCTCCCTCTGCCCCTCCCCCCACTTGTGCTCGCTCTTTCTCTCTCTCTCTCTCTCTCTCCCTCAAATAAAATCTTAAAAAAAAAATTCTTTAGGGATGCCTATTATTCTAATATACTTCAAGTCTGGAAGGCTCACTTAGAATTTTTGAATTCTCTTTTGTGGCTAACTTTGCTATTTTGTCAAGCTGGTTTGACAGAATGAATAGGTTTCAAGCCGCCTCAGAAAAAAATTACCAACAACTTTCACAGCTTTCCATGCTGAGAAAACATTATTTCTGATTCAGTTTGTTTCTCTTTGTTTCATCTTCACCCAGGGAAACTGGACAATTTCCCAGTGGCAATAAGTGACTGCCAGCAAGGAAAGCATTCATGAACTTTTAGTTAAAAATTGGATCTCACCTAACCAAAGAGCAAATATCTCCCTTTCAATTCAGATAGCACATCGGTTTCCCCAAAATTTACCTGAAATCTAAAGCAAAGAAACTATGTCCTTGTCAGTAAGTGCTTCTTTTTCTGCTGCAGCTCTTTATGATAGAAGCAATAATTAAATAAAACTGTCTACATTGCCACTTTTGTGGAAAACAAAACTGCGTGTATGACCTTCCTACAATAATATTTACTTTCATGGATATGTAGTAGTTATGTCTTATACTGATATCCTGCAAACATGACCAGATTTAGGCACCTTCATTTTTTTACTTGAAATTGACTTACAAACACCCTCACAGCATGGTGCTAATTTGGCTAATGTGATGACTCTGATTCTCCAGTAGGCGAGTCAGGTCTGTATGGAGAAAAAGTATGGGGCCATGATAATCACCACCACGAAGGCCAGAGAGATGTTCAGCTACTAACACAAAGAAGAGCAATGTTTCAGTAGATGAATGTTCTTTCAGCACTGAACAATGCTCATCTCTTAGACTAGAAACTCCCACTACAAAAGCTAAAAGCCTCAAACCCTGTTTTCCAAACAGAATTAGAACAAGAAGTATAAAAACTGACTAAAGGTACATTGTTGTGTTCTGTACACTGCTGTGTTACATGTTCCAGAACGAATGCTAAACCCCTCAACTAAAAGAATGTTTGCAGACTGTTGAATAAGGCTTTTTTCCCCCCCCTTGGCTGGGGGAGGTATGAATCAGGGAGAATTGTCTATCCATTGGAACCAGACACACGGCACTCAGGTAGTTTCTCTTGCATGTGGGTCTTCCCCCTTGGCAGCCCTGCCCCAGAACACAGAGCCTGGCTCTCTTGTATGCCGCCTTAGCCTGAGCTCCTGGAAAAAAAGCCCAGCAAATGCACCATTACACCAATTTGTCTTTTATTACTGGATCACTTCTATCTTCATATAAATCCTGTACTTTCTCCAATCTTACATAAACACCGTCCACCATGTATCCTTCTCTAGCTTCCACCCCACTTTTCTTCTCTCCTTCATAACAAGCTCTTAAAAAGAGCTAGGTTCAGTCTCAACCATAAAAATCCTAGAAGAGAACACATGCGATAATTTCTCTGACATCAGCTGTAGCAACTTTGTTCTAGATAGGTCAAAAGCAAAAATAAACTACTGGGACTACATCAAAATAAAAAGTTCCTGCACAATGAAGGAAACAGTCAACAAAACTAAAAGGAAACCTATGGAATGGGAGAAGATATTTGCAAATGATATATCCAATAAAGGGTTAGTATCCAAAATATATAAAGAACCTATAAAACTCAACACCCAAATAACAAATCCAAATAAAAAATGGGCAGAAGACATGAGCAGACATTTCTCTAAAGAAGACATCCAGATGGCCAACATTCATATGAAAAGGTGCTCATCATTTGTCATCAGGAAATGCAAATCAAAACTACAATGCAGTATCAACTCATACCTGTCAGAATGGCTAAAATCAACACAAGAAACAACAGGTGTGGACAAGGTTGTAAAAAGAAAAAGGAACCCTTGTGCACTGTTGGTGGGAATGCAAGCTGGTGCAGCCACTATGGGAAACAGTAGTATGGAGGGTCCTCAAAAAGTTAAAAATAGAACTTATGATCCAGTAATCACACTACTGGATATTTACCCAAAAAATAAAAAACACTAATTCAAAGGGATATATGTACCCCTGTTTATAGCAGGATTATTTACGACGGCCAAGATACGGAAGTAGCCCAAGTATCCATCTGATGAATGGTTAAAGATGTGGTGCGTATACCACATCTGTGTATATATGTACATACATATATATACACACAACACACACACGTACATACACACATATATACACTGGAATATTATTCAGCCATAAAAAAGAATGAAATCTTGCCATTTGCAATGACATGGATGGAGCTACAGAGTATAATGCTAAGCAAATAGGTCAGAAAAAGACAAATAACAAATGATTTCACTCATATGTGGAATTTAAGAAACAAAAGAGCAGAGGGCAAAAAAAGAAAAAAAGAGAGAGAGACAAACCAAGAAACAGACTCTTTATAACTACAAAGAACAAACTGATAGTCACCAGAGGGGAGGGGGGTGGAGGGATGAGTTAAATAGGTGATGGGGATTAAGGAGCACACTTGTGATGAGCATCATGTGTTGTATGAAATTGTTGAAGCGTTATATTGTACATTTGAAACTAATATAACACTGTATGTTAACTAACTGGAATTAAAATAAAAACTTAGAAAAGGGCGCCTGGGTGGCTCAGTCAGTTAACCATCTGCCTTTGGCTCAGGTCATGATCCTAGAGTGCTGGGATAGAGTCCCACATCTGCTCCCTGCTCAGTGGGGGTCTGCTTTTCTGCCCCTCCCCTGGCTCGCACACATTCTCTCTCTCTCTCTCAAATAAATAAAATCTTTAAAAAAAATAAAAAATAAAAACTTAACAACAACAAAAAAGCTAGGTTCACTGTCACTACTTCCTCACTTCCCACCCTCTCTTAATCCTGCTCAACCAGGATTCCTATCCTGTCAACTCTTGTCAAGGTCACCAACAACCTCCGTGTTGCCAACACCAATGCATGTTTCTTGGGTCTCATATTATTTGACCTCTCACAGCAGCATCTGCCATAACTGATCCCTTTCACTTTTTTTATTGAGGTATGACTGACATATAACATTGTTAGTCTCAAGTGTACAACATGAGTCAATATTTATATATATTGCAAAATGAGCACCAAAGTCTAGTTAACATATATTGCCATACAGCTACAAAACTTTTTTTCTTGTGATGAGAACTTTTAAGATGGACTCTCTTAGCAACTTTCAAGTATGCCATACAATATTATTAACTATACAACCCCATGACTTATTTACTTTATAACTAGAAGTTTGTACCTCTTGATCTCCTCACCCTTTCTCCTTCCTGAAACACATTTCTCACACGGCTTCTGGGACCCTGATTTTCCTTCTACCTCTCTGGTCTCTCCCTAACTTCAAACTGTTGCCATGCCCAATGTTCAGATCTCCTGTCTACACTCTCTTCCTAGAGTTGCTCATCCAGTCCCCTGCCTTTTTTTTTTTAATTTTAATTCCAATATAGTTAATGTACAGTATAATAGTTTCAGGTGTACAATATAGTGATTCAACAATTCCATACATCATTCGGTGCGCATCACAACAAATGCATGGCTTAATCCCCATCACCTATTTCACCCATCCCCCCAGTCACATCTTTAAATAGCCAGATACTGATGATTCCCTCACTCCTAACCCTTCCTAACACGCCCTTCAACCTGCTCCTCCCCCAAGAGGTGTCCATCTGTGGTGAGACTAGTCAGGTGTTTATCAAATCTACTTCTCCCTGGACACCCAAAACATGGTGTTTCCCAGCTTCCTCTGCAGTAGGGTGTGACCACAGAACTTTGTTCTAACCAATGTGAAGACCATTCAGGTTTCCCAGGCATCCACCTCCAGGTTTTCCCCTTCAGCCAGCTTGCTGCAGACAAAAATGCAGAACTTGGGAAGTCATGTGCTAAAGACAGCAGGAGCCATCTTTGATTACTGTTGCCCAACTGATCAGGAGCACCCACTGGGACTTAGCACCCACTGGGACTTTACAAGATCAAGACATAAACTTACTGTGTTAAGTCAGAGATCCTGGGGTTTATCTGTTACCACAGCAACATTACTATAATACACCATCTCAGCAAAAGGTACACCCTTCACAAAGCTACACAAATCAAAACCCTAAGACTCATTCTTACAGAAGTCCTTTCTTTCTCACTAACCATATTCAGTCCACTGCCAAGACAGGAAAACTTCCTTTAAAATATATTTTTATCTGCATAGGGGTATCTGGCTGGTTCAGCTGGAAGAGCATGCAACTTGTTTTCGGGGTTGTGAGTTCAAGACCCACGTTGAGTGTAGAGAATACCAAAAAAATAAACTTAAAATGTGTGTTTGTGTGTGTGTATCTTTATCTATTTCTCACTGCCACCACCACTCACACCCAAGCCCAAGACAACTGATTCTCTTACCAAATGACTGTGAAGGCCTGTTCTCCAGTCTCCAGTTTTCATTCTTGACCCTCTATATCCTATTCACCGCAAAACAACCAG